AAAACTGTCATTGAAAACCAAGCGCGAAGATTGATTGTTCTCAAAGTTTTTCTTAAGATATTCAGTATTGTGACAACTCGGTATTCCAATCTTTGTTCTAACCTACTGCGAAAAATTCGGAATTGTTGAGTCTGGGGCACTAAACGTATCTATCTTATTAATCCCCTTATGCTAATCAGACGCTTGTCTTCTTTAGAGTTTTGAAATATTTAAAACAGAAGGGCTATATAGTGAAAAGAAAATTCAATGTCTTTAACTACTGAACTGTTTTTTACAAGTATATTCGCCATGAAAAAATTACCTTTTGCGATATATTTTAGGTACATACTTTTCAAAGAAGTCGCAACAGCCAACTGATTAAATAAATATTTCTACTGCCGTTTATCGCAAGAATTTTCTTACCCAATATATATCAATCACAACATAGTAACAGATAAGATATATCTTCGATGTAGCATTTATATGATTAATAATAAAAACTGTACTTCGAAGTTCTAATAGAATTTAATGATGCATATCTATGTAGCGACGAAGTTAATGATACGTTTAATTCATGTGTAATACCATATTTAAATGTGCATAGAGCTCGCGTCTGACGAACATTATTTATATGTATGCGCATCGTAAAGCTGTCGGTTGACATAGAAATCAGATTTCGTGGCAGATTAGCTTTTCGGGTGATTTGGATTCAGACAATTTCGCAACCTCCGAAACTGGATCGATTTTCAATGTTATCAAATTTCAAACCGACTTCAGGTCCACAGTGCCGCGGTGCTTCCGCGCGAACCAGCCGAGTGTGAACTGTCAGAGATGATCTGAAGGGACCAGTCTAAACAAAGCTCTGTTTTACATCTATTTTGACTTAAACTCGAAACACCCAGAGAATTGACCACCAACGTTCGCCAATATTTACGTATCTTCATTAAGATTGTATCGTAGTTTTATTAGCGTGTCAAGAAATCATCAATATTTACTCAAATTATGTGTGTTTTACTGTATTACAGGGTAATAAACAGTTCGCGAATATTTTCAAAAATATTTGAAATGTG